AAAAAAAAAAAAAAGAAAATTCTTTTTTTTGAGTTGGGGAGTCTCACTCTGTCATCTCGGCTGGAGTGCAGTGGCCATCACAGCCTCTACCTGCTGGACTCAGGCGATCCTTCTGTCTCAGCCTTCCAAGTAGCTGAAACTGCAAGTGCACTCTATGACACTCAGCTAATTTTTTGGTTTATTGTAGAGATGAGGTCTTGCCAAGTTGCCCAGGCTTGTCTCGAACCCCTAGACTCAGGCAGTCTTCTCATCTTGGCCTCCCAAAGTGCTGGGATTACAGGCTTGAGCCACCGTGTCCAGCCATTTAAATTTTTTATAGAGATAGCCTCTCTCTGGGTTGCCTGGGCTGGTTGCAAACTCCTGGCCTCAAGTGATCTTCCCACTTGGGCCTCTAAAGTACTGGGATTACAGGCATGAACCACCATGCCTGGCTTTCTGCTGTATTTTTTTTTTTTTTTTTGAGTTGAAGTCTCACTCTGTCACCCAGGCTGAAGGGCAGTGGTACGCTCACGGCCACCGCAGCTTTGACCTGCTAGGCTTGGATGATCCCTCTGCCTCAGCCTTCCTTCCAAGTAGCTGGAACCACAGGCGTACACCATAACACCTGGCTAATTTTTTGATTTATTGTAGAGATGAAGTCTTACCGAGTTATACAGGCTGGTCTCGAACCCCTGGGCTCAGGCCATCCTTTCACCTCCACTCTCAAAGTGTTGGGATTACAGGCGTGAGCCACTGCGCCCAGCTTTGTTTTTAATCTTTGATGAGGAAACTATTCATTTTAAATCCAGGAGATGATTTTTTTCCCTACAGCCTTTGTGTCTTTTAGTGAAGGCTTCTTGGCCACGATGTTTCATTAGTGCCTCCTCTTTATCCTGTTTTGTTGGACCTTAGCTATAACAGTTCTAGTAGAGACCACTGAATTGTCCAGAGTTTGCACAGAAAATGAAAATTCTCTGTTAATTCAGAAATCATTTGTGAGCTACTTATTTTCTACCTTCTCTTTATTATATCTTTAATGGATTCTTCAAATAAAAATGAAGTGGATTGATACGCATTTTTCTGGTTGAGGCTATGTATAGTGGCTCATGTTTGTAATGTTTGAGGCTAGAAGTTCCTGACTAGCCTGTGCAACATAGTGATACCTTGTCTCTATAAAATATGTTTTTAAAATTAACTAGGTGTAGTGGCACATGCCTATAGTCTTAGCTACTTGGGAGACTGAGGTGGGAGGATCACTTGAGCCCAGGAGTTTGAGGCTGCAGTGAGCTATGAGTGTGCCACTGTACTCCAGCCTGGGCAACATGCAAGACCCTGTCTCTAAAAAATCAAAACAAAAAATTCCCCTGGTTGAGGTGCCATCAGCTGACTCCTAGTGAGCCATGGGAGAGAGAGGAGCTGGAAGCTGTAGGTCTGTATCGTACACAGAACGCATGATCAGGGTCCCAAGGGGAAGCACTGATTCCATCTGTCACTCTGGCTCCTTCTCCCTAATTAAGAGGACTGAAGAAGTTACTGAGAAAGGGATTTTGTGGAATAATTTAAATTCTCTGGCTTGTTCACATAAAAGTTCAGCAACTTTGTCATTCCTGACTTACTTCATGAAGAAGTCTAAAAGTTTTATTGGTCCTTTTGGACAGCTCTGGGTATTAAGTGAAAATAGCCATTTTTAAAAGCAAGTCGACTCATGAGCCGGCACTGGACTTAGCTTCCCCCATTGCTGTTGCTGCCTCCGGAGATGCGAGGCCTCATTCTCATGTCACTCACACTTGTTTGGGTTTTTGGACAAGGAGGTACATTCTGCTGAAGTTGGTGCATAAATTGCTAACTTCTTTTGATCAACCTCGAATAGAGTTTACTTGAATGATTTGTGTCCTTTCATTTTTTTGCCAGGAGACTGGATGACAATATTCGAACTGTTGTAAGAGGTCAAACAAATGTGGGACAGGATGGAAGACAAGTAAGTAGATTATTCCTCCATGTTAATTATACTCCCCTCGTTTCTTCCAGCCCCAACAACCAGCAATGAAAATGTTGAGGTTCCTTCTTGCAGCATACTTTCTGACTGATCTGCTTCATAAAACAGGACAGGGCAGGCTGCCTGGAGCTGCCGTGAGCAGTCACTCAGTGTCCCTTGGACCAGATCCTGTACTGTGGTGCGGCTCACCTGGGGCCGGGGTCTGTGGGCAGAGTTGCCTTGTCTTCTTCCTTGGAGTCAAACCTCTCTTGCACACTTTTTTTTTTTTTAAGAAAGAAAAGTTTATTTAAAAGTACATTAGAGAGTGAAAGAAGAGAGGAGATTCACCTCCCCAAGGTGTGGGAGGGGGATCAAAGCCAGGAAGCATGGCGACAGCCATGACTCAAAGAGCACATGGCCACACCAGATTCCAGCGAGGCAATGGCCGCTTCTTGTGCCCTTTTTTAATTTAGTGTACTGTGGCTCAGTAAGGTTGCTGCTTTTGTCCACCAGCTAAGTTGTTGGGTTTTCAATACTGCTTTTGTGCTGGCAAAGATTGTAACCTGACATAGCTGTGATTCCTTATACCTAACTTTGCTGACAAACAGGTAACTTGAGATTCATTGCAAAGTTTTATAGGTCTTTCTGGATCTCCCTAAGGGGGACATAAAGGAAAAAGGAGTGTGTGAGGAGGAGGTACTCTTCAGTGACTGAGAGGCCAGATGTTGTGTATAAGCTGTTTTCCTTTCTGTTTGGGTTTGTTCTTCTGTGGAGGCATCATATTTCAGAAATTGCTATCATAACAGAAATACCGAGTGTGCCTTTTCTAGCCTTCCTTTCTTATAGGGTCTGGACCTTCCTTTTATTTTTTTATTTTGTTTTTATTTTTTTTTTGAGTTGGCATCTCACTCTGTTGCCCAGACTGGAGTGCAGTGGCCGCTCCCAGCTACCGCAGCCTCGACCTACTGGGCTCCAGTGATC